TAAAGGGTTAAGTCCTCAATAACATGTTCCTGAGTGATTATATACTATTACCAACTTATTAATAACTTACATTTTAATCATTTCATATTCAGATAATTAAGGACATAAACACCAAATTTAGCTAAGAGGCCCTCACCTGTCCTACACCTGCCCAGGAGCCACTGCCTTATCTGAGATGGCCCCGCCCCCAGAGCACAGGCCCCGCCCCTCAGCATGGAGCACAGATAGCAAAGCTCTAGTGGGAGGGGCTACTGAAGCCTCAGGGGGAGGAGTTTCAGTCCCACATATGAAGCTGATTGGTTCTGCAGATCGTCTGCAGGTTTTCATTAACAGCCAAGAGAAAAGTTTCCTGTGCCTGTGCTGAGTTTACAGAGTGTGTGTGTGTGTGTGTGTGTGTGTGTGTGTGTGTGTGTGTGTGTGTGTGTGTGTGTGTGTGTGTGAGAGAGAGAAGAGTAGGATGTGAATACTTATTGCAGTGTTTCTGATTGTGTGGCTTCTGCTTTCTCTCAGTGATTGTTTCTAATGTATTTTTGTACTAAACAAAGGTGAGCAGAACCTCCGGTTCCCCCGGTCCTTTAAGACGGGTTGGAGTCCAGCTGGTTGGTTCCTTCACCTCAGCTGCTTCGCCTCCAAACTGCTGGATGACACAAATATTCATAGTTTTATGCCAAATCTAATAAACTCATTGACACAACATGGAAAGAAAGTACATTCCTGCAAATGTATTCCAACATCAGACAGGGTATTACTCAGAGAAACTCCTGGTAGCTGCTGAAGGTTAAAGGTCATGACTAATCTGTTTGGTTTGAAGGAGAAAGCTTTTTCACTAGAAACAAGATGGCCGCCACAAGCTCCAACATTTATATACTTTATATGCTGTTAAGATATTTCTGGTGGATTTTGAAAAATATCCTCCAGAAAAATGGAGAATCTGTCAGAACTGAAATCAACTGCTGATATTAGGCTCAGCTAGCCAAACGTTAGCTTCACTGACCAAGTTAGCTACACATGTTAGCTTCACTGACCAAGTTAGCTAGCCAAACGTTAGCTTCACTGGCCAAGTTAGCTAGCCAAACGTTAGCTTCATTTACCAAGTTAGCTAGATACACGATAGCTTCACTGACCAAGTTAGCTAGACACACGTTAGCTAGGCTAGCTAACCTTTGGGGGGGGAGAGTTCCTGTTCTCCAACAAACTAACACTAAACATATCAAAAATGGCCAATAAAAGGCTTGTTAACGGCGGCCATCTTGAAAGATATAGCTATGCTAGGATCTACAGGCTAATGTCGTTTTGTTTGGGTTTCTCTTTTGGTTCTGGTTCTGAATCTGCTGTGAGTTTCTACAAGATGGTGAAGTTTTTGGCAGGAGGAATGTTCTGGTTTGGACCCGGTCTGGTTCTGATGTAGGTCAGTGGAGGGTTCTAACTGACAGTTCTGGTTCCAGTTGTGGTGGAGGTCCTACTGGTTCTGGATCCAGTCTGTGTTCTTTGCTGGTTCTGCTGTCTGAGCAGCGCCTCCTGCTGGTGATCTGCAGTGGTTTCAGGATGTAGACGGTGCCGGTGTTGTGGAGCCGTTAGTGATCCGGTTCCACTGCTTCATTTAGAGCCAATCGCTGCCCTGACCTCCTTGTTTCTTGTTTCTGTGGGAACGACCTTTGCCCTCGGTGGCATCGGTGCCTTACTGTTTCAAATTCTTGTCTTAATATTCCTGGAAATTAATTTTTCTCCTGTACTTATGGCTGAGTTAGATTTTAAAAACGTTTTTCATTTACAAGTAAGAATTTGTATGTGATGATGTTACTGAATAAAAAAGGAAATAAACTTTTCTCATCCTCTGTCTTCTTCCTTATATGGTCGTTCCTGTCTGCCTCATAGAGCTGCAGTTTGGATGTCAAACGTTAACATTTTGGCCCGTCATAAAACAGACGTAGTTCATCTTTCATTCAGATTTTCACCATTTTATTCATTCATAAACATTCAAGTTTCAACCTGAACATAAGGATTATCTCTGACCCTCAGGGCGATAAATAGTAACAACACTAACTGCTGGAAAACTGCGTCTGTTTTATTTACTTACAGCACAATAATTAAATTATTCAACTTGTGATTAACTTTACAAACAGCAGCTTGTAGCTTCATTCCTTCTGGGGAGGTGGGGTCACATGACCTAATTTTCAATTTTTTTGCCCCAACTTTCCCCATTATGCCTATCTTCGGACGTCCCGTGTGTCGGGAACGCTCCCGTCCAACACCAGCAATATTCAACATGGTCTCGGCCCAATGGGCCTCACTAAGCTCCGCCCACAACCCCGCCTACAAAATCCCACATGGCGTCTTTTACTTGGACTGATGGAGTATTTCTGAGTCCATTATAGGATCATTTCTAACCCTTTTCACCAAATATCAACTGCAACAACAGACAGAGGAACTGACAAGTTCATGTCATCATCTGGATGACATCAAGGCGTTCGAGCAGCGATGCCTCTAGCATTATGCACAGCAAAATGCTTTCTGCAGTGATAAACCTCAGCACCAATGTAGCTGTGGACAAGATCTCTGATGCTCATCGTTCCTGATCTCTGATGCTCATCGTTCCTGATCTCTGATGCGTATCGTTCCTGATCTCTGATGCTCATCGTTCCTGATCTCTGATGCTCATCGTTCCTGATCTCTGATGCTCATCGTTCCTGATCTCTGATGCGTATCGTTCCTGATCTCTGATGCTCATCGTTCCTGATCTCTGATGCGTATCGTTCCTGATCTCTGATGCGTATCGTTCCTGATCTCTGATGCGTATCGTTCCTGATCTCTGATGCGTATCGTTCCTGATCTCTGATGCGTATCGTTCCTGATCTCTGATGCGTATCGTTCCTGATCTCTGATGCGTATCGTTTCCTGATCTCTGATGCGTATCGTTCCTGATCTCTGATGCGTATCGTTCCTGATCTCTGATGCGTATCGTTCCTGATCTCTGATGCGTATCGTTCCTGATCTCTGATGCGTATCGTTCCTGATCTCTGATGCGTATCGTTCCTGATCTCTGATGCGTATCGTTCCTGATCTCTGATGCGTATCGTTCCTGATCTCTGATGCTCATCATTCCTGATCTCTGATGCTTATCGTTCCTGATCTCTGATGCATATCGTTCCTGATCTCTGATGCTCATCGTTCCTGCCAGGCTGGAACCAAATTGCTATAATTTTCTTTTGTGTTGTATTTATATTCTTTGTTTTGTATTTAATTTGTATTTTTTTTGTATTCTTTTGTGTATGCTTACTGTGTGCCACATTTTTGCCTGTGAGCTGCTGGTAACTATAATTTCCTGAGGGAGTCTTCCCAAGGGATCAATAAAGTCAAGTCTAAGTCTAAGTCATCAGTCGGGCTTCATGGTTTTCTAGGTCACTTGTGAAATCAGTGGCTGATTCCTGTGGTTTGTTGTCTAATGTTTGCTTTGTGCCTCGGCCTGATGCGCTGGACTCAGCGCTAACAGAGAGGCTAACAGGAGCAACAGTTTAGTCAAAAGCCTTTCCTGCTAAAATCAAATCTTTACTGCATGTCAGATACATGTTGCATGTTGATGTGTTTAGCTAATGTCAGGCTGTAGCAGACAGGCGTCAAGGTGCAGGATTAGTGTCAGTCCTGCTGTTATGAGCTAACAGATGTTCATGATGGATGTTTGTTATTGATTTTCTTTAATTCAGACATAAATCAAATCAATAACTCACACCAGCACAAACTGCTTTGTTCTTGTTGATCCTATGAATGTTGAGGGTTTTGCACAAGCTTTGATCCAAGCAAGGCTTTCTGCTTCTGATTTGGAAATCTTTTATGACCACAGATACGATCAGGATACTGACGTCACCAGATCAATAGAGAACCATTCTGTTCCCACTGTTGATGGAAAACCTTCTCTCTGCAATGTAGCCTGGTGCTAGTTAGCGCTAACGCATGTGCGCTAGCATGCGTTTACCGACGCATGTGCAGTAGCATGTGTTTGTGAGACGGCCACGCACGCTGTCGCCGTGCTGCTACGTAGAACGGGCTTCAGCCAATGAAACGCGGCCCCTGTGGTAAAGTCCATTATCGCAGCCTGTTCAATGCAAGTACACTCAAGTACACTTGGCTGCAGCCTGCGGAAAAGGGCGGGAACGGACCACTGTCAGTCTCAGACCTTATATGGAAATGGGACTATTGCATTCCGGAAATGAAGGGGGCGCTAGTGACACCATTTCCTGTACCAGCCGTGTTTTAATAATTATAATAATAATAACGCATTTTATTTGACAACGCCTTTAAAAACACCCAATAACACTTTTAAAATTTAAAATAAATTACAAATTAACTACAAATTAAACAGTAAGGAAATGACATACCAGGTGTTATGTCACGTGGTATGTCCCTTTTTTATTTTTAAATCTTTATTAAATCTTTGTTTTGGATGTTAAATTATATCAGTAACAAACATAAAATAAGCAATAATAAGGAATCATTGGAGATGTATTTATCTATCCTTACACCCTAACTTTCCCAAACAAAAGTCATAAAACATAAATTAACATTTAGAGACAAATGTACACTACATTAAGAACACATTTATCAATCCATCAATGATTTTACTCTCAAGTTATCCGTGCAGTGGGTGATGAGAGCTGCTGTAGGGACCCTGGACAGATCGCCAGTCCATCGCAGAAAACAGATATAAACAAATACTTGCTGGTGTTGAAGTTCAAATAATAGATTTTGATGTGAATGGTACTCTTAAAATAAATAAGTTAAAATCTAAAATATAATATCCTTTGCCTTATTTAATAAGGACTAAATGGAAAGAGGTTTGGTCAGTAAAACATTTAGTCAACAGTTTTTGCCACTTGGTCCATCCATTCACAGAACACTTTTGTTCTGTTTATTTGCCAAGTATTTTTCTTATTATTCACAATGTGAATATAATTTACAAACAAATGACTTTAGAACTTCTAACAAGCTCGACTATTATCATTGTTTACCATAATGTCTAAACTGATTGGTGTCCCACTATTCTGTTTAGAAATTCAAAATCTATTCTACCAATTGCAATTGATTCATAAACTGCGCCCCAAAGACCTTAAATATGCAATTGTTGCAAATCCCAAAGTGATTCATTTTAAAACTTTAAATGTAGCTTCAACCTGGAAAGACTCACAGAAAGCAGGTTTTAGAAAGTTCATTTGATAAGAAATAATCTTCGAACCCTGGCAGTAGACACTGCGCTGGTAACTGCCAGAGAGAATGACTCGCTGTTGGTTTTTTCTCTATGAAAACCTTTTGAATAAATTCAACTGGATACATAAATTAAATCCATGTGTAAATTGTAACCGTCTCCTCTGATCACGGCGCCGGTCTCATCTCCTCCGTCCTTCACAAACTCCGGCTTGATGTGCAAAATGCTCCTCACCTGAGCCTCCATCACCTCCACCTGGTCTCCACCTTCACTCAGCTCACCTTAGTCTTATGTTTGGATTATGACTCTGTAACTAAACAATGTTTTCTGTTTGTTCTTGCTTTATTATAAAACAACAGTTGATTCTGACTGTTAAACAAACTTAGCCGTATGTCAGGTTTTGTAAAGAACATTTGTAATGATTCCAGTCATTGTTTAAAAAGTATAGGAAACATTGCATTTACACATATAAAATATTGCAAGTTATTAACTTAGCATGTATTTCAAATTTTTAAACAAGTGATCCAATTGCTAAACAACACTGTTACAATATATTTACAACTACTTTATTTGATCTACTCTCTCCAACAAAATACAGCCACATATAACATCATTTCTTTAAAAACTAAATAATGTAAATCAACTGAGCTACAACAAAAGGAACATTCAAAAATGTACATAATGTTGAAATAACACATGAAAACGAATGACTGAACAAGTCAAAGGGCAAATATGCTTCAGCATAAATTATTTAAAAGGCATTTCACAAAAACAACATGTGTGACAACTGAAATGTGTGAAAGACTACAGAAAACAACTAATTGTCCTAGCATTCAGTACTGGCGTTCAGGGCAGTGTCCAGATGTGCCATCAGAGTAGTAACGAGGAACTCTCCTCATCTTCCATGTCCAGTGAAGCCCACACAGTCTTTATGTTGCCGGTTGCAGGAAGAACATCTTACAACCGCAAAAGGAATCCTGTTTTCTGCCTTGCATGAGTCTGAAAATGTCGCCCAGCTGATCTCACCTGTTGATGAAAAACTGATTTTATGTAGTTGAAAATCTAATTTCACATGTTTTAGGTGAAAAAAGTCAAAGGTCTTTACCATCTAGCCAAGCAAAGTGAGTCTTCTTCCCTGAAAACTGGGTCAGACACAATGGCTTCTAAGCACTTGCAGGTCAATGCCAAGGTGAGGGAAGATGTGCCTCCCTGTGCCAGAATCACTCCTGGAGAACAGCTTCCAGTGCAATCAAAGGCATCTGAAAATAATAATAATAAAAAAACATGTGCAATGCAAGACTCATACTGGAAGAATGGCTATGACATGATTATAATGAATCTTAAAAAAGAAATGAATAAAATTAAAAAACATCTATATACATTGCAGATATGTTTAAACAAGATGTGATTCATTCTCACTCAGAACAGAGTGAGGACTCAGCTAATAGCTACTAAGATAAAAGAAAAAGGTTATTACACCAGGAAATATACAAATGATTGGTAGAACAAAAGGCATGTTTGAATTAATCACTGTAGATTCTTTAACATTGTTGTAACTGTTTTGTAGGATTTAACAATTAATTCTAGAAGTCACATGGCTTCCAGATAACAATATATATTCTGCACAAAATGAACAGCCAAAGATTAACTAATCAGATTTACTCAATTACTCTGTAACTTTGATAAAAAATATAATAATTAGGACAATTTTTCCAAATGTTATACTCTTGAGTTAATTTTGTTGATATGCAACACAATGCGAGTAACTGAACTGAATGAAGATCACATTTTAATCCATAAAAGAATTAAAACACGATAAATGTGTTTATGTTAGGTTTCTTCTAACCTTAATTTGTTGTCTTGTACTAAAATACCTAACAGTGCACATAACTTCATTTTTATTAATGTCTGCTGAAATAAATGGGTAATATAATCAGTAAAACAGTACTTAATAATAGCCATTTCACAAATACTTTGTTACTTTTAAATGTGTAGTTTGCTGCACAGTTACTACAAATACATTGTAGTGCTGCTCATCATTACAGTATCATCTCTGGGTTCTACACCCACTTATGATGGCAGCTGTTAGCTTATTAAAAAAAAGCTGTTAAGTTTATAAAAAAAATATTAGACTTTCAGGAAATGTAACATTGGGTACAAAACATATTTAAAAAATATTAACCTTTAAAAATAAAATAAAAAACCTAGAAAACTGATAAGAATGTAAAAATAAACATTCATAAGTGTAGTTTAACATACCGTTATGCTGAACCATAGCAGTTGTTGCTATGTGGTTCTGTACCTTTAAGACTCCTCCGCACTGTATGAGCAAAGGGGACAGCGGTATTTGTCTTCAGACAGTACGGGAACAATTTTCTGTCCGATCCCAATGTTGCAAAGTAATACGTGCATCTGTATAATGAAAATAAAAATTGGGGCATAAAATACATTTCTCACTTATACATTTTTCTACTTTTCGATTTTTATCTAATGGTGCCCTGCACGGAAATAATTAGCTATGCTACATGCTAAAATTAGCCTTCCCCTGTAAGAACTACGAATTTCACTCGTTTGCAGCTGTCAATTATATTTTCAACCTAATCTAGAAAAAGCGTTTTGATTTACTATGTGAAAAAGTTTTAATAAGGTAGAAAATACCTTTTGCTGACTTTGTTCTTGTTCCATTATGAATAGCGTTCCGAACGTCAATGGCGAAACCTCTCAAACTTCTTCCAATCCACCTCTTCACCCGCTTCTTTAAGGTATTAGTGATTGTGAAAATAGCGCCCCCTTCATTTCCGGAATGCAATAGTCCCATTTCCATATAAGGTCTGAGACTGACAGTGGTCCGTCCCCGCCCCTTTCCGCATGCTGCAGCCAAAACCCTCTCGTTCAATGTGACAGGGAGCCAATCAGAAAGCGCGGTGACGTAAGAACGGAGAGGATCCCGAACCGTTCACATGACATGACGAGCAGCAAATAGAGCAGCTGCTCCTTTTATCAAACGGCTTTTCTTTTTGTTTCGTCTTTAAAGTGATCCACAAACTATCACTGCTGCTCCTGCATCATCTTATTATTCTGAATTCATTATGGGATGTTGGGTTTTACTGGATCTTCTTCTGGAACCGGGACGTTCAGTAGAACCGGTTCTGGTTCCGTGTTGCTCCTGGACTCTCAAACCGACCGAACCTGTTGGACTTTTATCGGCTCTGAGGTCACAGAGGTTTGGGAAATCGGCCAACGATCCTTAAACCAACCAGACCTAAAACTCACATCTCCTCTCGACCTCTGACCTCATGCTGACTCTGGTCGCTATGGTAACGGTTACATATCCCTTCAAAATAAGATACAGATGCGCTACAAAAACATTTTAGTTTACTAACAATATCGACTGATGGACCCTGAGCTGTTTCTCCTCTGGGAGACGAGAGACGCTGAAGTGATGCTCAGGAGACACTGGGTCTCCATGGTGATCCGGTCACCTGACCATGCAGAGCAGCTTGGACTGTGGGAATCAACCCACCGGGACAAACCCATCCTCCTGCCTCTCTGGGCCTGCAGACAAACTTTCCAAAGAATCTGATCTGGTTCTGTTCATTTTGCCCGCTTGTGGATCCATGTTGGCGCCAAAACGCCACCGAGAGAATCTGTTGAAGGATTTTCAAAATAAAAGATCCTCCAGACTCACATGATAAATTAAACGGAAAAATACCGGTCGGTACCGGCTTTCCATCACGTGTCCCTCTGAACCGAAAGGTTCTGGTCCATTCACTGATTTATCTTCAGTACTCATGAAGGAGCAGAAACAGAATCCAGTCTGGTCCAGTTCAGGTCGGGTTCCAGGTCCAACTGAAACCAATGGTGCAGATGAAACGGGTCCAACCTGGTCCACCCAGAACCACTTTGCCGAACCTGCAGAGTTTAAAGCCTTTCAACCACGACTCAGCAAAACATGACAAGCAGGATCACACTTGAGAGTTTTATTAAAAGATCAAGAATCAGAACCACTTCTGGACCACAGATTAATCAGAACATTGTTTCAGAACCGGCCGGCCGGCCAGAATCAGCTCTTCAAATATCTTTGGCAGATTCATCGTCTTCAGTAATTTCATCACTGTGACGTTTTGCTTGGTGTCGCTTCGGTTCGGACCGTCGGCTGAAAGAGTAAAAGAGCGTCTAAAACATGAGGAAGCAGCTTCCTGTTGGCTCTCAGCAGCTTCCTGTTGGCTCTCAGCAGCTTCCTGTTGGCTCTCAGCAGCTTCCTGTTGGCTCTCAGCAGCTTCCTGTTGGCTCTCAGCAGCTATAAGGCAGAAAAGAAACCGGTCTCTGCTCAGGGCATGGTAGAAGCGGAATTATTGCTGAGAAGCACGGACCCGGCTCGGCCCAGAAGAACCTGCTTTCAAGCAGTCCTCTTGCAGACGTGGATGAAGTAGCAGGGTGGCGGGTCCTGGCCCGGCCGGAAGGCCTTGAAGTCTCCATAGACGGTGTGCTCCATGTTGGCGCCGAAGGCGTCGCTCAGCAGCTCGCCAAAGCTCTGCAGCCGGTGAGGGTAGTAGGACAGCCGGAACTTACTGCACAGAACCGGAACAGGGACATTATTCTGGTTGTCGGGTCAGACAGGATACAAAAAGCTCAGCGATGGCCAGCCAATCGGCCACAAGCTCACCTGACTTCAGGAAGCTTCTGCAGCGCTGCCTGAGGCACCTGGATGGTGTAGTCCAAGGTGATCATGTGAGGCTTACTGTTGACCCACAGAACCGAGGTGGTGATGTCCTGGGTCAGATCGCTCTGCAAAAAAACCACGGCACGGGTCAGACACGGTTCTGCTCAAGGTTCTGATTAGACCTGCTTCTATGGCGTTAACTCTGGTGTCATTAGCCATGGTTGGCTAATGACACCAGAGTGTCATTAGCCAACCATGGCTAATGACATGGTTAACTAATGACACCAGCCATAGCTAAAGATGGCTAAAGAAACCAGCCACAGCTAACGATGGCTAATGACACCAGCCACAGCTAACCATGGCTAATGACACCAGCCATAGCTAACCATGGCTAATGACACCAGCCATAGCTAACTATGGGTAATGACACCAGCCATAGCTAACCATGGCTAATGAAACCAGCTATATGGTTAGGGTTAAATGAAATTGATCAGGTGAATTTCCATGAATAAATCAAACATGGCAAAACATAAAATAGAAAATAAAAATAAACTGAAAAATAAAAGTAAAATAAAATGTAACTTGTCAGAGAAGTGTCAATTACCAAATAAATATGAATACTTGTAAAACAAAATGTATTTAAAAATGATTAAAAATGAGAATAAAACTAAAATAGATATAATTTAACATTTTAGCTTACGCTTAATAATCCATCAGAGAAAAACATTTTTCTTCTTTTCTAGTTTTCCAGATTCATTGATAACATCGTTCATCCGTAATTAGTTCTGAAATTTGGTTCTGTTCGGACCGGTCCTGTTCAGCAGATGCTGCAACTGCAGTAGAACTGGTTCTAGTCAGTACCACCAAGTACTGCTGCGTGCTAACTGGTTCCAGTTAGCACGCTAATCATAGCATGCTAACACTAGCAAACTACAACTAGGCACCATGTGAACAACAACAAGGTTGAAGTTAGCACACTAGCATACATCTGTATGCTAGTGTAATACTACCGGGATATCAGGCTAACAAGCTCCATTAGCAGAGCTAGCATTAGCATGGAGTATTAGCATGCTCCATGTGGAGCTCTGAGCCTCTGAACCATCGTTTAGCTTTTGCTGTCTGGATTTCTGTTGCTGCGTCTGAAGCTGTGAAAACGCAGAGAGAAGCGACTTCCTGTTACCTTGTAGTAAATGTTCTTGCCCTGTGGGGCGCGGCCCGTCTCCAGGATGTAGTCGTAGTTTCGGTGATCGATGATGAGGATCCCGCCGGGTCGCACCATGCTGGCGATGTTACGGAGCGCCAGGCGCTGGTCGCTCTGGTCCCCTGTGACGAACGGCAACGCATCACTGTCTTGAGGTCAAAGGTCGACACCGTACGGTTCTGTCCAAACCTTTGAAGTCCGGCAGGTGAGCGAAGGAGTTCCCGAGGCAGATGACAGCGTCGTAGCCGTCCGCGGGTCTGTGGATGTCATCAGGCAACGTCAGCCAGTTGGCCTCTTCGATCACTGGACACACACCGAGAAGCTTCAGGACCCGATCCGGTCAGTACAACCGGTTCTGGTTCCGGTCGGGTTCTGGTCCTACCCCACTGGTCGAAGGCGGCCTCCTTGCGGCGCTCCCAGCGCGCCTTCAGGGCGAACTTCAGCATCTTGTCGCTGGCGTCGACGCTCACCATCTGAAAACCTTCCTCCACCAGCATGATGGAGTCCACTCTGCAAAGACGGGTCAGAACCGGGTCAGGTGTTGCTGTTTTATTGAAGGCTGCCGCTGTACATAAATCGTGTTGCTACGTGACAGCTGCTAACGCTTCTGGATTTAAAGGCCTGCGTCACCAGCCCAACAGTTTCGCTGTGCTGCATTGCTCCACCTTGTGTTGTTGTCCGTTTGCTAAAAAAAGCAACCAGGAAGGTAAACCTCCTGCCTGAGCTCTGGCCCCTGAAGCCTCTGGAGACACACCTGGATTCATTTCATCAGCTTTAGGTCGCTCAGAAAATCTCAGAGAACATTGAAAAGAAAACGGTAGTGACGTTTTCCACTTGTTGCTGATGCTAAAACTCTGTTTTGCTGATGCTAAAACTCTGTTTTAGCATCAGCAACAAGTGGAAAACGTCACTACCGTAACTCATGGGGATGTCGCGCACAGGGAACCGCGGCTGGCAGCTTACCCGGTCCCGCAGGCCACGTCCAGCACCGTCCGCACGCCGTTCCGCTTCAGCAGGGAAACCACCCAGCTCTTGTATTCCTGGGTCCGGCTCTGGATATCTCCGATGTACAACTCCCACACTTTGGCCGCCTTCCCGTCGGCGTACTGATCCGGAAGTCCCTCGGCGGCCACGCCGAGAGAGCGGGTCCTGAATACGCTGTCGACCGACATACTGTCCGCCTGCTGCCCTGCGGCAGGGTAGGTCTGGGGGTAGAAGGCGAGCTGGAGGCAGGCTGACCCTCCGGCTGGCTGCTGGTGTTTATATAAGACCCGCAGCACGAGAAAACCTTAAGCCAATGGCGTTCTGCTGCGGAAGGACGCCTACTTTCTGATTGGCCGACTCTCTCAAGCTCCGCCCCTTTGTTGGTCACGTTGGCGGAAACGCCTCTTCAAACTCTGCCCTGAGTTTGGTCTCGCAGGTTCTCCTGAAGCCGAACTTTCTCATCGTCTTTGCGCTAAAAGCTGAGCAGATGTTTCGGGTTTCAAAGTGTTTTGGAGTTTTTTTTAGAGGTTTTGGGCTTACGCTGGATGTTCTGAGGATTCTGGGTTCGTTTCCCGTTTCCAACCTGAACACTCACCTTTGACCCCGCCTGTCATCAGGAACATTTCGTTCCGTAAACTTTTGCAGTATTTCATGGACAGATTGTTAAATAATGTTCAGCTTCCTGAAGTGGAGCTGGACCCATCAGAACCTGCTCTGATGTTTCATTATTAAGAAAGATAGAAAATGTCCAACATTAATACTGACAGATGAAGTCCAGTGATGCAACTTACAGTTTATTCTTTCTTCCCTAAAAATGAATTACAGAAACACAAAACCACACCATCTTATGATTTATGTTGATTATAAAATGCTAACCATATTCAGAGAAAAATCAGACACCAAAAATTATTCATTTTTTTTCTTCACGAGGGTCGATAATCGGAGGTTTTATGCACAAACAGCTCAAATTAAATACTGTTATTGGAGTACATAATCAATTAGATTAAAATATATGTGAAAATGGAAAACAAACTTGATTTTAGGATGATTAAGTTATATCCTGACATTAATGTAGATAATTTAATAATGTTTATAACCAAACTGATCAAACAAAAAAACTCCAGGTAACAGAAAGGAGAGTGTTACCATGGAAAGCATTAAACACTGCTGTTAGCTTCAACTAAGAATAACAAACATATTTTCTTCCCAGAAGTAATCTTATTATCTAGCACTAAATTATGGAAAAACTAATAATAACAATAATATTTAGTAACAAACAAATTCAAATAAATGATGCTAAACTCATAATAAACAGAATTCAAACTGAAAGTGAATGAAATCAGATTTTAGACAAAAACATTAAATGAACTAAAATATTTTCTAAAGAAAACAGAATGTTATGTTGTTGATGAATATGTGGAAATACAACCAGAACAGCAAAGACAACGAAACAATGAACAATGAATTAATGCAGAAAATATTTCTGGTTTAAAACTGAGTTTTTTTTTACTTTTTAATGAAAGGAAGTAATTTGCTATAAGTAATTATTGATTTCTAGAGAATCTGCATGAAATGAAAGCAGATTTTTCTGCTTTCATCTGAATAATTTTCAGAAACCCTTGAGTTGTTCCCGTGGACAGGAAGTTAAATCTTATTTATTTTTTATATTTTGTGTTTTGGACTTGGAAGATGTTCAAAAGTAAATCTGTTAAACTGCTGCAGCATGAAGCCTGAGCCTCCTCCCGCTCTGATTGGCTGAGCCTCCTCCCGCTCTGATTGGATGAGTGCAGCTGGGTTCGGCTGCAGCCGGTACCGTCTAGGTTCGGTTGGATCAGCCAGTTTGATCAGCGCCGAGCCGCAGCTGCAGCCGTTCACTCCGAGCAGAACCTGAGCACCGGCTCAGCGGCGGCCCTACAGGGTCGAACCGGTTCTGGTCCGGTTCGACTCGAACCGGCAGGCTTGCAGGGAAATAACTGAAGCCCGACAGAGGGCGCCGCATTGAGGGAAGCAGAGGGTACAAAGAGCAGCAACGTGATGGGAACCACGTCATCACGCAGCTGAACATTATGGGATGCATCACCATGGAAACATCAGATCTGCAGCTGAAGAATTTCTTCAGAATGTTTGGTACTGTTCTGGACCTGAACAGAAGTCAGAGGGTCGGTTCTGCTCGGTCCCGTATGGAGCTACATTAGGGTGACTATGGAGCTACATTAGGGTCACTATGGAGCTTTATTAGGGTGACTATGGAGCTACATTAGGGTTCTGTATGGAGCTACATTAGGGTCACTATGGAGCTTTATTAGGGTGACTATGGAGCTACATTAGGGTCACTATGGAGCTTTATTAGGGTGACTATGGAGCTACATTAGGGTTCTGTATGGAGCTACATTAGGGTCACTATGGAGCTACATTAGGGTTCTGTATGGAGCTACATTAAGGTGACTATGGAGCTACATTAGGGTCACTATGGAGCTACATTAGGGTTCTGTATGGAGCGATATTAGGGTCCTGAATGGAGCTACGTTAGGGTCACTATGGAGCTACGTTAGGGTCACTATGGAGCTACGTTAGGGTGCTGTACAGAGCTACATTAGGGTGCTGTATGGAGCTACATTAGGGTCCTGAATGGAGCTACGTTAGGGTCACTATGGAGCTACATTAGGGTCACTATGGAGCTACATTAGGGTTCTGTATGGAGCTACATTAGGGTCACTATGGAGCTACATTAGGGTCACTATGGAGCTACATTAAGGTGACTATGGAGCTACATTAGGGTCACTATGGAGCTACATTAGGGTTCTGTATGGAGCTACATTAGGGTCACTATGGAGCTACATTAGGGTCACTATGGAGCTACATTAGGGTCACTATGGAGCTACATTAGGGTCACTATGGAGCTTTATTAGGGTGACTATGGAGCTACATTAGGGTTCTGTATGGAGCTACATTAGGGTCACTATGGAGCTACATTAGGGTCACTATGGAGCTACATTAGGGTTCTGTATGGAGCGATATTAGGGTCCTGAATGGAGCTACGTTAGGGTCACTATGGAGCTACGTTAGGGTCACTATGGAGCTACATTAGGGTCACTATGGAGCTACATTAGGGTCACTATGGAGCTACATTAAGGTGACTATGGAGCTACATTAGGGTCACTATGGAGCTTTATTAGGGTGACTATGGAGCTACATTAGGGTTCTGTATGGAGCTACATTAGGGTCACTATGGAGCTACATTAGGGTCACTATGGAGCTACATTAAGGTGACTATGGAGCTACATTAGGGTCACTATGGAGCTTTATTAGGGTGACTATGGAGCTACATTAGGGTTCTGTATGGAGCTACATTAGGGTCACTATGGAGCTACATTAGGGTTCTGTATGGAGCTACATTAGGGTCACTATGGAGCTACATTAGGGTCACTATGGAGCTACATTAGGGTTCTGTATGGAGCTACATTAGGGTTCTGTATGGAGCTACATTAGGGTGACTATGGAGCTACATTAGGGTGACTATGGAGCTACATTAGGGTGACTATGGAGCTACATTAGGGTTCTGTATGGAGCTACATTAAGGTGACTATGGAGCTACATTAGGGTTCTGTATGGAGCTACATTAGGGTGACTATGGAGCTACATTAGGGTGACTATGGAGCTACATTAGGGTTCTGTATGGAGCTACGTTAAGGTCCTGAAAGGAGCTATATTAGGGTCATGTTGAAATAATATTTTAAATTAGCACAATACTGCACAGGATAGTTTTGATACATATGAAATATACCATAGAAAGTTAACGTACACTCTACATTCATATAAATTTAAAGATCCAAACTAAAACAACGGCTCACTCTCTGAACGTATATAAATTCTTAAGGAGGATTCGACAGAAAACAGGCCTAGACTCCTTAAATCTCTTTAGACAGGGAGTCTGTCTGCCAGACAATTAACAAATTCCTGAGCATGGTTCAAAAGTTCACTAGGATCTTAAAACTTTTTATAAATAATTTTATTTATATTAGAATTAAATATATTTCTTTAAGCATGTTTTGAATTAGTTACTTCTTAGATCCAAACTTATAGTCATTATTTAGCATTACATTTTGTGCAAGCTTGGTTAAAAAACACCAACTGGTTTCTTGTTGAAGCATCTTGAGGCAGAGATAACGTTCCAGTTCCACGCTGTAAATCAGATCGTCTAAGAAGAAGGCTGTTACGAGAAGAGCTGGAGGTTTGGGTCTCAGAGGTAATAAAATTAACATTAAGACAGCCCACACAAAGGAAAAAATCACACCTCCTAATGCATATATTTAAATGAGGAGAATACGCATTCTATAAAATGGTTTGTTTCACAGCAGAAGTTGGAATCTCTTTGTGCTGAGTGAGAGTTTCCCGGAGGATGCATCTTCTGTTAATATTTTGTCTTTTTACTCAGTTCTTTGTCTCTGTTTTGTCATGTCTTGGACTTTTGCTCTAGGTGAGATGCTTGTTGTAAAGTTCTTCTTGGATTGAATTTCTGTGGATAAAACTCTGAATATCTGAAGTCTGACATCGTATGATTGCTCTTTTCTCTCTGCATACGTATACAGGCACAGGAATTCGGGACAAAGAATTAATTAAAGAGCTAAATTGAGTTATTCCTCTTTTTAAATTCTTAACAGTCACTATGGAGCTACGTTAGAGTCATGCAGTTCTTTTTTCTTTGAAACTGAAAAAATCTGAATTTAAACTGAAATGAAAAAAATAAGATGCGAAGCAGAACAAACTGGAACACTTTGTGTAAAAGCTTTAAACAAGAGCAATAAAATGAAACCGTTTGATTTTAAACGCACATTTATAATCCCAGTAAAAGCAGAAAATATGAAATGACACTAATTGATTACTTTAGGAATCTGGTCATTGAGTCATTTGTTCAGTTTGTCTCTTTGCCATCAACATTTCATCATTTCTCATAAACTAAATATCTGGACATTTATACACATTTCAGGATTTTTCTGAAATTGCAGTAAAGCTGCAGTTTATGACTTTTATAAAAATATTTTCTACATATTTGTTTAAACTGCCAAAACAATCTGCTCTTCCTTCTCCAAACGACCAGTCAGAGCCGGGAGGCGGGGCTTAGCGCTAGGGACGCACCAATTCATCTGTGCTGATTAGCAAAAACAAATTTGTTTATCAAAAACAATTTGGTATTGGCAGGTCAGGACTTTTAATAGACCGGTGATCGGCCAGAAAACTCCAATCGGTGCAGCCAGACTTAGCGCTGTTAATCACAACCTGCTGTGGCGCTGCTCATCTCCCCCGGCTCTCTTCCGCACTGCAACTTGCACATGCTGTCATGAATGCTAAGCCCAGTTAGCATAGCCACCGATGACAGCCAAGTTGTTTCTCTGCCATGAGCACATTTAGCAGCGAGTACATGGTGGTGATCAGCAGCACTAAGCTCCGCCTCCTGGCTCTCACCGTTTTTGGAGATCGATGTTTCAGAAATGAAACATCAGTTTGTCTCCGAACAAACTGTTACAGTTACCATGGCAACAATTTGAAGAAAAAGAGAAAAATCCTTTTTAAAAAGTTATAAATTTCATTCTACATGGAGAGAAGGCGGCCATTTTAACGTTTTAACCTCTGCCCTGAGCGCCGACTGCCAGGTTCCTCAGCTTAAAGGTTCCAAAGCTTAAAGGTTCCAAAGCTTAAAGGTTCCAAAGCTGTGGTTCAGGAGCCCGGGCCGGAGCGGGAGCGGCCGGCTCCTGGCCGGAGCTTCGGTCTCTGCGTTTCTGACGCCAAACAACATAAAGTCTGAGCAGCAACACGGCCGCCACCAGAACCGCGGCGGCCCCGGCCCAGACGCAGAGGAAAGGCCCCGACGGAGCTGAGGCGGCCCTCAGGACGCTGTCGCGATCCGCCGGGGTCACGACCTCACCTGCTGCCACGGCGACGCACCGCACCTGTCCTGTCAGCAGGAATCCTGGGCGGCAGGAGCACAGGAAGCTGCCGAAGGTGTTGAGGCAGATCTGGTCGCACTGCCCCATGTGACACTCGTCGATGTCCACACACCGCGGCCCGTCCAGCAGGAAGCCGTCCGCGCAGCGGCACGCCGCGCCGCCCGCCGCGCACACGGGCGGACAGCTCTGCTGGGCGCAGTGCAGCCGGCAGCGCCGCGGGTCGCCGGCGTCCGGGACGTAACCGTGGAAACAGGAGCACCTGACCCCGCCCTCGCCGTCCGCACACTCCTGCTGGCAGGGGGCGTCGTCGCACCGGAAGGGGCCCTTTAAGAAGCGCTCTTGCTCCCAGCATGCATTGCTGTCCGTGGTTCTGCACAGAAACCCGTCGGGTCTGTCGGAACATGGCCGCTCTGTCCAGACCTGGTACCGGGCCAGCGCCACGCAGCTGGGCGAGCAGGCCGCTGCGCCGGCCGCCCACCGGACCCAGGACGAGTTGAAGGTCCTGTTGGCGGCGCCGGAGGTCCAGCGGTACCCTCTCAGCGGTTCTGCCGGGTCACTGCAGGCCCCAGTCGGCAGCCGCAGTCCCATCCAGAAGCTTCCGGACAGAACCGGAGCCAGTCGGGCCAACAGCCGCTGGCTGCTCTGAGCCTGCAGCGTCAGCAGCTCCCCGTCCTGCCTGCGGCACACCGCCGCCGCCGCATCAAAGTCCAGTCTGGCCCGGTTCACCGTCAGGCAGTGGCCTTCAAAACACAGCGGCAGGCAGGCCTGCTGCCGGCCCGGCCCGGCCTCCAGAACCAGCACCAGCAGAGCCCACAGCAGAGCAGCCATTCCAGCAGCCAGCCGCTGAGGTTCTGAGCCTCGACCCGCCCGACGCATCCGCTCCGGAAAGCCGGGCTCCAGCCGGGCCCCAGCCGGTCCCGGGGGCCCAGAGAGCAGGAAGGAAACCAGAGGCAGAGACCCGGATCGGAACCGCACAGCTAAAACAAACACTCTCACTCTGTTCAGGGATCAGGCCACAGCAGAACCCAGCAGAACTTTTAACCGTGTTCATGGACCAAACAGGACATTCAGGTTCAGTGGAAGCCAGCAGCCTGGCCGAGCCGCGCTCTGTGCTCAGCACCAGAACCTTAAACGGATCCGTCAGGAGACGGGAAGGACTGAGACAGGCTGTGAGGGAGCAGGACGATTTGTCCTGCAGGTGGAAACAGCAACAGACCAAAGCAGGAACGATTTCCTCCAGATCTGCTCGTCTCCCTGATCTTGAAACAGAAACGGCTCAACGTGAGTCGCAGCCTGATGACGAGTCAAATGTGGCGCTGAAGTTTGATTTTATTGGAGTTTATAACCAGAGACTTACTGGAGAGACGATCACTGGTCAGGACAAACATGAGGACGTCCAACTGGTCCATCCTGTCCAGCTGAGGGAGTAGAAATGAAAATATGACTGAATGTCACTGGTGTAAATCAGAGATATCTGAAAAGGACTGAATAAGCCTGCAAGTGGAATAAATTAAAAACAAAACCAAAGTGGACCCAACACGGAGCCTTGTGGGACCCCATAAGTTAAGGTGGCGGAGTCAGACGAGAACCTGTGCGTCTAAACGCAGAACGTCCCAATAAATGTGAGACACCAGCCAGGACCTGGTGGACAGTCAGAGAGCTGATGAAACCAGCACCGAGCATTTCACTCATCAGCGCCACCAACAGGTCGTTATGGACTCTCGCTGAGGCCGTCAGTGGAAAGGAGTTTAGAAAGCAGACTAAAGGATCAGAGACCCGAGGCTCACTAAAGCAGGATCTGAGTCGAGTTTCTACAACTGAAGTCATTTCCTGACAAAGAGAAGCTTCAGATGAGACCAGGAACTGGAACCTCGTCTTTTCACTAATAATTAATACTAATTATTGACAAAACTGTTGGACCAGTGGCAATTAGAGCCTGGACAAGCAGAGAGGGGGCAATATTTCCAACAAACATGTCGAAAGTTTAATTTGACCAACTGGTGAAGTCCAGTCAGTTCATGGAATTGGAACAAAAACAGAAAAGGATCCGAACACCGAGGCTCAGCAGGGAGTCCAAACCCTTCTTCATGAAAAACTGAGGAATATGATGGAGTCACCATTTCAGGCTGGAAGGCAAACAATACTGCTGTTGGTATTAAATAACACTTTTGGATTATTTTTGCTCTGGTGAACATTATTGCTAAAATAAAATGATCTGCCATCAATAACTGCCTTGTTATGAGACTCAAGATTTTGAAATGTTCCCAGTGGAAAACCATACCAACTTTATTTATAAAGCACTTTAAAACAACCACAGCTGATACAAAGTGCTGCACATAAAATAGATAAAAACTCTTACAGTTTAAAACAACAAACTTACAATATGAAACTAGATCTCGCTGGAGTTGAAGGCCAAGTAAAATAGAAGGGTTTTAAGACGAGCTTTAAAAGTGGACAGTGAAGGGGCCTCTGACCTGCAGGTCATTCCATAACTTAGGACCCCGACAGAGAAAGCTCTGTCCCCTCTGAGCTTCCTTCTAGATCTCGGTTCCTCCAAGAGCAACTGATCTACAGACCTGAGAGATCGATAAGGTATGTAAGGGTGAAGAAGCTCAGTGAGGTAAGCCGGGGCAAGATCATGCAGCGATTTTAAAACAAACATAGGAATTTTAAAACGGATCCTAAAATAAACAGGCAGCCAGTGAAGTGAAGCCAAGACAGGGGTTACATGCTCTCTCTTTCCAGTTCCTGTCAAAAGTCTTGCAGCCGCATTCTGAAGCAGTTGCAGACGTGAGAGCAGTGACTGACAAACTCCCAGATATAGAGAGTTACAATAATCCAGTCGAGTTGAAATAAAAGCATGGATCACTGTTTCAAAAATGCTGCCTGGAAAGAAAAAGATTTTACTGATGCCAATCGCCTTACATGATAAAAACTGGACTTAACCACGGCTCTAATGTGGCTGTCCAATTTAAAATCACTGTCCACCTTAAAACCAAGATCTGTAATAACAGGTTTAAAATACACCTCCAGACTGGTCCTTTTCCACAGGCCATCTGGTTCCCCATCTGGTTGAACCGGGACAAATTAGGATGAATTGGAACGAACTGGCAGTGGTCATTTAAAGAATCTCCCAGAAGCTCCATCGCCATCAGGAGCAGGAATAAAGGAATAAACATGAAGTCACTGAATCAACATGTTTGACTGGATGATTCAGATTAAATCTGCCAGTAAAAAGCAGGTATTCAGAGAAACCTGCAGGGTGAGACTGGGACAAGTTAAGAGTCCTTAGCAGGACGATTCAAAGGATCAACAGCAGAAATGTTAAAATCCTCAGTGATCAAGATCCTATTTATCTTGATTACTGATCAAAAGTCCTGGAAGTCTAAAAGAAAAGATGAATCTGGACCAGGCGGTCGATAAATCATCTATAGGTTCTATCTTGCCGATTCGGGCCACAAAGGACCTGAAGGTACCTGAAGCCATCGCTGGACATAAAACAGACCGTGAGGTGACAGAAATGGCTCCACCAGCCGTCAGCACAGATTCACAGGATGCGAAGCATCATTTCCACGTCTCAGAAATAAAGGAGCAAACCCGAGCCATTCAGAATGAAGGACTTGTTGGCAACAGAGCGTGGCGCCGCAGACACCCTCGGCTTCAGAGGACAACATGTCGGATCGTCTGGCACCAACACACCCGAGGCCGAATCGCCCGGCGGCACCCGGAAGGATCCCACGGCGAAGCCGGGCCTCTTCCCCCGTTTCCTTCGCCTGCACGGCCAAAGCAGAGACACGTCCACAGGCCAAAGACGAGGGAGGGACAGCGGATCAGTGGAGGCAGGACTGTTGCTCCTGTCCCTTGACCCTGAAGGTCGACCATCACAAACTCGATCTGCAGACAGGAAGGCAGCAAGAAGGGCAAACACACAACCTGACAGGAGCAAACACAGACGCCATCTTGCCGGTCCAGAACACGTCCAAACATTTATTTACATTTCATACCACTTTGGTTGCTATGACGACAGAGTACCACTAACGAGAAGGTCCAAACGATGATGACCTGATGATGACCTGATGATGACCTGATGATGACCTGATGATGACCTGATGATACCTGATGATACCTGATGATGACCTGATGATGACCTGATGATACCTGATGATGACCTGATGATACCTGATGATGACCTGATGATGACCTAATGATACCTGATGATACCTGATGATGACCTGATGATGACCTGATGATGACCTGATGATACCTGATGATACCTGATGATGACCTGATGATGACCTAATGATACCTGATGATACCTGATGATGACCTGATGATGACCTGATGATGACCTGATGATACCTGATGATGACCTGATGATGACCTGATGATACCTGATGATGACCTGATGATGACCTGATGATGACCTGATGATACCTGATGATACCTGATGATGACCTGATGATGACCTGATGATACCTGATGATGACCTGATGATGACCTAATGATACCTGATGATACCTGATGATGACCTGATGATGACCTGATGATGACCTGATGATGACCTGATGATACCTGATGATGACCTGATGATGACCTGATGATACCTGATGATGACCTGATGATGACCTGATGATACCTGATGATACCTGATGATGACCTGATGATGACCTGATGATGACCTGATGATGACCTGATGATACCTGATGATGACCTGATGATGACCTAATGATACCTGATGATGACCTGATGATGACCTGATGATACCTGATGATGACCTAATGATGACCTGATGATGACCTGATGATGACCTGATGATACCTGATGATACCTGATGATGACCTAATGATACCTGATGATGACCTGATGATACCTGATGATACCTGATGATGACCTGATGATGACCTGATGATGACCTGATGATGACCTGATGATGACCTGATGATACCTGATGATACCTGATGATGACCTAATGATACCTGATGATGACCTGATGATACCTGATGATGACCCGATGATGACCTGATGATACCTGATGATGACCCGATGATGACCTGATGATACCTGATGATGACCTAATGATGACCTAATGATGACCCGATGATACCTGATGATGACCCGATGATACCTGATGATGACCCGATGATACCTGATGATGACCTGCTGATGACCCGATGATGACCTGATGATACCTGATGATGACCTGATGATGACCTGATGATGACCTGATGATACCTGATGATACCTGATGATGACCTAATGATGACCTGATGATGACCTGATGATGACCTGATGATACCTGATGATACCTGATGATGACCTAATGATGACCTGATGATGACCTGATGATGACCTGATGATACCTGATGATGACCCGATGATGACCTGATACCTGATGATGACCCGATGATGACCTGATGATACCTGATGATGACCTAATGATGACCTAATGATGACCCGATGATACCTGATGATGACCCGATGATACCTGATGATGACCTGCTGATGACCCGATGATGACCTGATGATGACCCGATGATGACCTGATGATACCTGATGATACCCGATGATGACCTAATGATACCTGATGATGACCCGATGATGACCTGATACCTGATGATGACCCGATGATGACCTGATGATACCTGATGATGACCTAATGATGACCTAATGATGACCCGATGATACCTGATGATGACCCGATGATACCTGATGATGACCTGCTGATGACCCGATGATGACCTGATGATGACCCGATGATGACCTGATGATACCTGATGATGACCTGCTGATGACCTGATGATACCTGATGATGACCTGATGATGACCTGATGATACCTGATGATGACCTGCTGATGACCTGATGATACCTGATGATGACCTGATGATACCTGATGATGACCTGATGATGACCTGATGATGACCCGATGATGACCTGATGATGACCCGATGATGACCTAATGATGACCCGATGATGACCCGATGATGACCCGATGATGACCTAATGATGACCTGATGATGACCTGATGATACCTGATGATGACCTGATGATGACCTGATGATGACCCGATGATGACCCGATGATGACCCGATGATGACCTGATGATGACCTGATGATACCTGATGATGACCTGCTGATGACCTGATGATACCTGATGATGACCTGATGATACCTGATGATGACCTGATGATGACCTGATGATGACCCGATGATGACCCGATGATGACCCGATGATGACCTGATGATGACCCGATGATGACCTGATGATGACCCGATGATGACCCGATGATGACCTGATGATGACCTGATGATGACCCGATGATGACCCGATGATGACCCGATGATGACCCGATGATGACCCGATGATGACCTGATGATACCTGATGATGACCTGATGATACCTGATGATGACCTGATGATGACCTGATGATGACCCGATGATGACCCGATGATGACCCGATGATGACCTGATGATGACCCGATGATGACCCGATGATGACCTGATGATGACCTGATGATGACCTGATGATGACCCGATGATGACCCGATGATGACCTGATGATGACCTGATGATGACCCGATGATGACCTTATGATGACCCGATGAATAGAATAGAATAGCATTTATTGTCATTGAACAGGATTCAACGAAATTTCTATTGCAACTCCCCTGCAAAAAGTCAAAATATACAATATTAAATAAACAAACACACAATAATAATATATACAACTAAAATTAACTAAAGACACTCAACCACACCAAAGAAGAAGCAGCAGGTCCAATTATGGTAAAGTGCAGATGATGTGACAGTGCAAGTGCAATGGCTTTGTGGGGTGGGGGTGTGTGGGGGGGGGGGTG